AGAAGACCGCCAGGAAGAGGTTACACTTCAGGCTCTTAGGTTCTGCCTTTATGGATTATACCTCATCAGGTAGTGGTGTTCTCTGTAGTCATTTTGGAGGGGCATCCCAGACCTGGATTCTGGTTTGCGGCAGGCAAGTCTAGGTCTTGGAGTGGGTCATTCAGGGTCATCCCTGAACTTCTCCTGGGCCAGATGCTCAGGGTGGGCTAGGTAGAACAGGATATAGGACAGGGTCAGAGGTCCTTCAGGGGACCATGCCATTGAGTCGCGGTGGGATGCCTCCGATGCAGTAACCCACGGTGTGGCTGGGAGTGCTGCAGAGGGCAGCTGGGAAGACCTGCCAGGACTGAGGGGGCAGGGAAGAGCAAAGGCTCCATCCCAGAAGGCACCATCCAACAGGGCCAAGACAAGTCAAAGACATGAGGCAGCAACCCTCTGTCACCTCCCTCTGCAAACCCCACCTGTAGGGACCCCTCACCTTCTGTCTCTCACTCCCAAATTGGCTGCTGCCTATGAGTCAACCCAGAGACACTTTGACACTGTGTCCCTGTCACATAGGGAGGATGAGAATGGCTGGCCAGCTTAAGTTGTGGGCCTCCAGGAAGTGGAAAGTTAACCCAATGACTACCCTCCAGTCTCACATAGCATACTTTCCCATCCTACCTAATCTCTGGGGTTGGTGAGGTAACCCCCACTCCCCTGCAAGCAGAATGTAGGCCTGGGCCCACCACTTTTTCCCAGCAGAAGGAACAGACAGATCCACAGAGGAGGGCACAAGTCCAGCTGCAGGCCAACACACTGACTCCAAACCCCTCAGCTGGGCCTCTCCAACAGCAGGGGAAGGAACAGGAGGGCCAGAATGAGACCCCTTAGTGTGAATCTCCAAGGGTATGAGATGAAGCCAGCTTCTGGGATGAAGGAAAGTTGAGGGTCAGGAACAGGGTTGGAAGAAGTTGTCCACAGTCTGGGTGGGGTAGAGGAGAATGAAGAAGGAGAAAAAGCGGCAGATTTTCATAGTTGAGAGTTTAGAGAATTCAGTGGAGCTGGGCTCAGCAAAGGGAGGAGTATTGGACTGAAACTGAGCTTGCTGGGGAGGAGATGACTTTGATATAAACATAGGGAATGGAAGGTTGATGCCAGTTGGTTAAGGCTGGTCAGAAACCACTGGAGCTATAAGAAAGGGGATGGAGGCCATGAATAGGGTGGGTGAGGTTAGAGCCATAAAAGATGTGACTATAATCCAGGAAGATGGGGCCATGAGTAGCAGGGATTTCACTTAGCGGTGGGACATGTGGTAAGCTGCTGACCTCACCCTGGGATGCAGGTCATGACAGATCTCTGCCTGGCAGGGAGTCAATGCCTAAGACCTCAAAAAATGGGACTGAGTCTGTTACTCAGTGAGGGTGGATATACAGGAGATGTTGGAGGATCTCAGGGGTGAAGGGTGATT